CTGTTTAAACTGTTTTTGGCTCGCATTTATGACCTCAATCCTGATCATGCTCTACCGCACTACAAGTCGACAGATGAAAGCCCTGGGTGGATAGCTGCAAGTGATCTCCCCTCTTGCAACTAAAACACGATTGCTCCTGAGGGAAGCACTGAACGAACGCTTCTTCAGTAGGTACTTCAAGGACAGCAAGCTCGAAAAATGCGCCTTCAATACGGAGATGCAGCTAAAATTGCATCCCATCTACAGACACACCGAAACGAGTCTCGATCGCGTGGTGATATCGTCCTATCGACAGCATGGAAAATCTGGAAAGGAGCTGTTTGGAGAAGCAACGCGGTTGATACTAAAGTACGCAGCAAATTACTCGAGCTATTCACAGCAGTCATCGAGCCCGCAGATGTCGTGGGGATGCCTCCCGCTCCTGTGGTGGCGCGAGTCAGTAGGCTAGAAGCGGAGTTTGCTTCTAGACCGACAAGACGGCCGGTTGCAAACCACTGTGATCGACGCGCCAAAGAAGAACTGGACAAACGGATGAAGGACCCTGTTGGTGCTGAACGCTCAAGTGACAACACACCAAGAGAATCAGTGCTTCAATTTTGGCAAAGGCTAGAGCACCAAGGAGCTTACAGAATTATTCCAAAAGCCGTCAAAGGGTTGTACGAAATTCCGTCATCTTCGTGTGAGATTGAGCGTGACTTTAGTATATCAGGAAGCATGATAGCGTAACCACTCCGCGCACAGCCCTAGTCGACCACAACATCGACATGTGCTCATGACGAGTGATAGTTTAGCAAACTTCGTCTCTAGCACGACACTTGAAGAAGACGCAGAAGCTGAAGAGAAATCTGGACTGTAACGTTGAGTACTTGTAGCTTTAGTGTATATACAACGCGGTATCGGATCTGTTTCAGCTACATATATTGAAGTACAATCAATTTACTTCCTCTTTATCTCCTTTCTATGCATCCTAGCTTTCGCTCAGCTTACCGGATTGCCACTTCATCATTCATCATAGCTACGGCTTGATTGATATCCTTGTGCAGCTAGCTCCGCTCTCTTTATAACTTGGCGCTGGATCTCGGACACAATAACTCTAAGGTCAAGCCTTTAAGTTCGTGTTCGTGACTGGTGATGTGAGCGGCGTGACAGCCGTTGGGCCTGCATATCCGTTTGGGTTCTTTGCAGCATCACGGCATTTAGGGATGGTTGCGGCAGCCGTTGACCCTGCGATCGACGTGAGATTGGTTGGGTTTGCGTATCCGATTCGATTCGCTGCAGAATCACGGCACTCGGAGACGCCGGAGGCTGCGAAAGAGTTCCGCATAGCTGCGACAGTTCCGCTGTCAATGGTGACGTCTCCTTAGACTCTCCCTCTATCGCACTTGAAGGAATATTCCCCAGTGACGCCGTCGGTACCTTTTCCTCCACAGCGTCAGATCCGTCTATCTCTTTGGCTGATGGCAAACGTACTGGCACAGACGGCAATGTTTGCATGTACAATCGCTTCCAAGCGTCTTGCATCCGTTTTTCAGGTTCGATATCTTCGTCAGTAGCAGATACATCACCGTCCAATTTGTCATCCTGGTAGCCTTGGTTAGCTTGCGGAACATTTACCAGTTTGGCTCCCTCAATTCCGACACCGCGTACTACGTCTCTGATGATCCTTTAATTTACACCAACGGCCGAACCCAACTGCAAACAATCCTATTGCGAGAGTTGTGAATCTTCATTTGTTATTCTTGCTGAAGATGAGTGTTGGCATCGGATCGGTAGGGCTCATTCGTTTGTTATAATAAGCATTGCTCTGCTCGACTTCCTTTTGAACAAGATCTGTCAGAGTACTCTCCAGGGCGCTTTTGTCAGTTCGTTGGACTTGCTGCTTTGACCGAACACTTAGTTTGCAAACTTGCTCACGTAGTGCCGATGTCGCATCAGCTTAGCGCTGACTTGCCGAATCAATTCTGTGTTTGTAAGAGCTCGCTGTATCCGAGCCTCTAATCGGCGCTCCGCATCTATTATTTTTTTCCTTGACAAGGTCTCGTAAGGATTCACAACGTGGCTCCTCAGCTGCGTCGACTCGCACAAGTAGTTCTTGTTGCATAGTGTTACACATTGCCTGGGGATGTAGCTGCAGCGATGTCTTCATTAAAGACGCAATGCTCGAGGTAGTTGCCTCCATTTCTTTCTGTATGAGCAAGGCTCTTCCGTCGTCGGTGGTATCTCGGAGCGGAGGAGCTGTAAATTGTCCTTAACAAGCTATTGAACGTACTGCGATAGGCTCTCGAGACCACTGTCAACTTTGTCTTCGAGCTATCCGAGAGTTTTTTTTACCCCTTCGATCTGAGCCGAAGCTTCTCTATGCGATTCCTGCATTACCTCTTGCAGGGCGCGCGCAGCTCGATCATTCAAAAATTGCTAAATTTGCCCTCCTAGCTCATCTTTAACTATTTGTAGATGATGAAGCTGAATTTGGAGATTTGATTGCGCCGCTGTCAGGGCTTCGCCTAGTCGGTCGACAATTGCACGTTATTGATCAGTGAGCTGCATCATATTGGCCTCTGTTGAGACCTGCATCGCCATTAATGCTGCATTGTGGGCGTGACTGTGCACTTGAGCTGCTGTAATGCGACGTGTTCAGCGACATGGGTCTGGGTTTGAGCTATGACTAGGGCTGAAAAGTGAAGTGCAGGCGTTTTGTGCATCTGAGTTTTGCATGGTGACTAAATTTCTGAATTTCTGGAAAAAGATATTCTAAATTTTAGGCTGTGTCGATGCCCGCACTCACTTCATCTTAGACGCACGCAACAAGACCAAGATCGGCGTCGCTACAATAATACGGTAAGTATTTGTACGGATGCGCGGTGCTAACGACAGTCCAGTTGCTATTATGATTGATTAGACCATGCCGAGGCACCCAAACTGCCTGTGGAGTGAGGTCCGAGTGACAGTTCTCAAGGGGGCACATAAGTCGTATCCCGATGTTGAATGCTGTCACTGCCAAATGGAGATGCTGAATGTACAGCCTGGGCGTGCGTTGCTAAACCACATTATCGTCTGTCCCAGGATTTCGGAGAAGGAGAGGACGAAGTGGAGCCGCTTACGGAACCTGGAGCATAGGAAGGCAGAAGCAGCTTGGAAATCACGCAAAATCTAGGTAAAAGAGCTCGACAAGGAATCTACGATAACGAGGATCTTGACAATGCGTTGGAATACGACGCTGCACCTTTGGAACTTGACAACGAGACATTTTAACGGAACATCGCAGTAATGTTTTACTCAGGGAACATCCCATTCCGTCTAATCGACAAGTCTGCGTTTTGAAGGGCTCTGCTGCAAGGTAGACCGGATCATCTCGATCTACCGACTCGTGTATCGCTTTCAGAGGCATGGCTCAAGCGAATATATGCTGACAAAAGAGACGAAGTAGGAGTAGTTTGGAAAAACGAGGAGATTATTGTTAATCTCCTCGTTTCAATGTATAGTTGTAGGAGACGGATGGCTGGCTGGTGACCACATCGTAAACTGCATTTTAAATATAGCTAAGCCGCGCCATCTGCTGTTTAAGACAGTGGAAATCGGCGAAGACGAAGAAACACCAGAGTTTATCGCCAAGCTGATTTTGGACGTGATTGACGAGGCTGAACGTCTCGGGAAAATTGTAGCCGTCACTTCGGATAACCCGAATGCAATGATGGCTGCCATGGGCATTTTGGAAGCGTACTAAAGTACTACGTAATAGCTACCATAACGAGCAAAAATACTAAACACTGTTGCTTGGCAGTACTAAACACTGTTGCTTGGCATTGCTCACCCTACATGTACTAATACATGATTTAAGCGATTATAAAATCTCTAAAAATAGCTGTTTAAGTGGTCGATCGAAAAGTGCATTGCACTTTACAGCACCGTGCAGAAGTGCATGTATTAAACAATGCACTTTACTCTCACTGTTCAACCCTAGCTACGACTTGACAGGTGATCAGCAACACTAGGAGCGAGCGGTACAGCCGACGAGGATGCCATGTCTGGCACCCCATTTGCTTGCGCTGATGCAGCCGCAGGAGCTTGGGCTCGTGTCGGGACCATTGCGCTACAAGATGGCAACTAAGTATCGACCTATCAACGGGAACGTCTATTTCCACCACTGAGAGCCTCATAGTGAGAATACAGGATACAAAATGACGTGTTTTCGCCAACATAAATCGATTTACAGGATGGAGCTACAAAGCCTCACGAACAGTGTTCGTAAGTTTTTTTTTGTACTCTTCCGAGAGCAGTGGTGTTCGTCCAAGGCTTGGTCTTATCTTCGACACAATAATACCGTTGAACTGTGCTCACGGCGTCACCCGAATGTCTCCTCCGTAATACAATACCGGTACGGTACCGGGATTGCTCGCTCGGTAGGGGTACCGCCGGTACCCCTACCGAGCGAGCAACTATTCCTACAAATACGCCGGTTCACAATTACTCTCTTCACTGGTACCTCTACACTGACTTTACGATGGACTCAACGTCTCGCTGTCGATTACCCCCCCAATCCCTCGGGGGGGGGGGGGGTTATCGACTCCTGGCCGTAGTTGCAGATCTCCGGAGGTGTTCTCAATGAGAACTTCTCATCCATAAGCTGCTGATTTTGAGGTGACGGTCGCGTGAGTCAAGAGCTTGGGATTGACACACGGTCATGATTTCTGTACCTGCATCAGTCGAAAGCCGGAGAACCTGTTCATGGAAAAATGATCATCTGCACCCAAAAGAGTCTGGAGACAATGCCTGTCCTAGCGTCACTACGATATTGATCTTCTAGCACCCAAGCCTTAGCCCGCATGGCTGATACGGCTACCAGATTCGTGTAAGTTTGAACTTATATTACGATCTCGCCCAGCGACCGCCATTCTAAGAAACTGCTGAGTTCGTTTGGTGTTTTTCGCAGTGATATTGATTGCCTGGATACTGCCGTGCTGGACGCCGATGGCACATACAGGAAATCAACTGGGGCGCCAATGCACCACCGCGTCATGGGCACGCTCTCTATCGTAGCGGTGACCTACTTCTTCGGCTGTGGTGGTCCTGTGGGCTCGGAGCCTATTATCTCCTCTGCCGGCCCCGGAATCGGCCTTCCGGCCTTGTTGCTGTATCCTCTCCTCGTGACGGGGCCGTACGCCTTCATTGTAGCAGAGTTGTGTTGTGCTTTCCCAGAAGACGGGGGCTTCACGGTGTGGGTTGTCAACGCATGGGGTCCGTTCTGGGGCTTCCAGGTTGGCTGGTGGTCCTTCGTATCTGGTGTTTTCAATACGGCGTTGCTGCCGGGCTTCTTGTTGGAGATCTTAAACGACTACTACGGTGTCTCCATCTCATCGGGTGTCACTTCGTACGCCATCAAACTGGCACTTGCTATTCTGCTCACTTTCCCCTGTCTGATTGGAACGCGAGTCGTGTCTCGCACTTGTGTGATGTTGCTGGGTTGTGTGCTGATCCCCGTTCTAGTATTCACTGGTTGGGGGTACTCTCGAGCCCGTGACTTCGGAGACCTCTTCGAGGTTCGACACGAGACCAACATCATCCATGAACACTTGGGCGACGACGAACAAGTTGGTGACGTGGAAATTAAAAGGGCCTTGCTGTTAAACACCTTGTTCTGGGCGTTCGACGGCATCAACATGGCTTCCGTTTTCGGCGGCGAGGTGTCCAACCCGGCACGCGTCTATCCGCGAGCCATCGCGTACACCGTCGTGTTGACTCTGTTGACCTACCTAGTTCCTATTCCAGCCGCCATCCTCGTAGATGACCCCAACTGGACCTACTTCACACGTGACTCGTATCCTGCGCTCGCCGATGCTATCGGAGGCCCCATACTCAAGGCGTTCTTCGTTTTTTCGTCGTGCTGTTCAGTTGTCGGGTTGTTCATCTCGGGTATTTTCTGCAAGTCGTTCCAGTTATCTGGTATGAGCGACGTGCAGCTTCTACCTCACTTCTTCGCATGGCGTAGTAGCCATTTCAACGCTCCGTACGTGTCTATCGGCGTCACGGCGCTCTTCACGATGGCGCTGCTGGGTGTAGACTATGACGCGTTGTTACCAATGGCCAATGCCTTTGCTGGGGCGGTCCAGCTCCTGATTATCCTCGCAGCTATTCGGCTCCGTCAACTGCTTCCGTACATCCCACGACCTGTTCGCGTCCCTGGTGGCACGCGTATGCTCGCCGCGTTGGCTGGACTACCGACGATCGTGCTCTGCTACATTGTGTTCGACACGTTCCGTAGCATGACGTCCGCTTTAATTCTCTTGGCGTTCCTACTGCCAGGTGTAGCGTACGGCCTCTACGAGCGACGCCATAACCAGGTGCCGCGTAACCATATCGGAGAACGACTCTGAGGTTTATCTTCATGTTGAAGTTGTTGCTGATTATAATGCCATTTAGCGTCAATACTGTACTCCTTTGCGTTCACCTCACGCTTTTGCATTCTGCTAGCCGAATATGTCATTGTTGAACTATAATACCTTTCCTCTAAGACACCAATACGACAATCAGCACACACACGCAAAGTGACGGTGATGAGCCCCAGCGCAGGCTTCCCGGTTGCGCGGGTCCAACTGCGCTCGAAAAGCGTGAAAGCTTCAAGCGCATCATAAAAAGCATGCGTTCGGAATTCGGCCGACACGATGGGGTGACCCATCCAGGAGTAACTTCCACTGCCTTTTACCGTGGAAGGCAGTGGTGGCTGAAGACAGCCTGCAAGTGTATCGCGAGCGGAGCGCAGGCGCGACGAGTGCAGCTTTAGCGTCTGAACTGCGGAAGTCGAACTGCCATCAGGTTCCACCGTCGCCCCCGGTGTGACGATGACCGGTGTCGCCCACGGCACGGTAGAGAGCGTGATGCATGCAGTGGCGAGCAACTTCCAAGAAGACTTGACACTGTTTCTAAGCTTCATACGCCACGGAGATCATCAGTTGCGCTGTGTTGAAGACTACCGAGGCGTCAACGGAGACCGACCCGTTCCACATGTCAAGTATCAAGAATTTTGTTCGGAACGCACCCGTCCAGTGTTTCATGAATTCACAGGCAACAGAGACAGCACAAGGCAATTCACCTTAGGCACTTAGTAGAATTGAATCAGTGAGAACGCCGCACTCGACCAGGTAATTGTATGACAGCAGAGTGAGGTAGACATCTTTGAGACTGCAATCACATCGAAGGGGTCGGCCAATGTACTGTTCCGTCTCACAACTTTGGTGGCGTGTACTAAGCGAAAGCCTGAAGCGAAGCGGCTTGCGCAAATGTGGCGAGCACAGCAGAGTCGCACTAACATACAGGGTACCTGCAATGTGACGGGGTCACACAGCACCTAGGAAGTTGGCTTCCGAGAGTTTACAAACTCTCAGTGAACAGAAGGTCACAGGTCCTTTTTGTCAAATGACCAATTTTAGGTACTTCCTCCGTCCGAAAATATGAGCGGGTCTCTAACTTAAAGTTGTCCGAAAATATAAGCGGTAAGTTCGGTTTAGTTTTTATTTGTCTGCTCAGTCGAACTTATGAAGTCTTTTGCTTTGGCATACACGACCGCGCTGCACGGTTAGGAGTGTTCTATCTGACTCTTGGACAGATGGGGAATCTTGTGCTTGTTGCTGCCGTTCACATCTATTGAAGCTTGTAATTCGGACTGCAGTGTGACGAAAACTCTGTCAATAGTGGGAAAGTCTAGCTGTTTGAAAGCGGCATCAACGTTGTCAACGTGGTCCTCAATCGTTTTGGCTTTTTTTTGTGCTGCAAAGACTGCAAAGAAGCAAAGAAGCCGATATCATTTGCGTTGTAATCGGGCGAATTAGCTGGCTGTGGGCTAATGCTCATCTTCCATCCACCTTCCGTACACGCAACCAGCACCTCTGGGTCATCAGCATCAACGTGCGGCTTTGCGTTATCGTGTTGAAGCACGACGCGTTTCCCAAAAGGCCACGACGCTTTAATGCGCGGAATGACTATACGGCATAGCGCTTGGCGATACACGTCACGATCGACGGTACATGTCTTCAACTCTAACGTACCAACCGGGCAGTTCTTGCTCGAGCGCTCTGCTGGTTCATAAACAACAAATGGCCACAAACCTACCTTTCCGTCCCAGACGCGGTGTCGATAAGCATCCCATCGAGGCCGCGCGACAGCGACAAGAAACATTACCTTAATGATGCAGTTCTTGTTTTTCACAGTAATATAAGGGACGTCTTCGTTCTCTCAGAGATAGAATTGCTGCTTCTCTTTGCGCAGATAAAACCACTTTTCATCCAAATGTACGTATTCCATCATGCTGTCGAACAGCAGCGTATTGCTTGGGCCTCGGTGCACGAATCGCAGAGCGAACTTGACTCGGTCAACATGCTGCTTCTCCGTTAGCATCGGCTTCACGCGTACAGTGTGGCTACGGAACACACCAGTGCGATAGTAGCCATATAGGGTCGACTTAGGGATACCTAGAGTAGTCGCTAAAGTACGAATGTCCGTGTGGCCCTCTAGCTGTTAACCCTTCTAGAACGGTATTCTGTATCCTACAGAATAAGCGTTTTCGCAGTATTAAATATCCAGAAATGTTGGCTGCGCTGTCGAATCTCGCATCTATTATTTTGTATGTGTGCTGATCAGTCGACCGCTCCTAATAGATCTGCGCTGGGTAGATAGCCGGGGATTAGCGTGTTGGCATAGAAAGACGAGTATAAGGTTTAAAAATTGAGGTGACAGCCCACACAAACGCGTGTCAGCCACTCCATCTTTCCCCCATTCGGAAAGATGAAAGGTCTTGGAGAGAAGTCGTTCACGCAGCTGTGGCGTGACCTGTGCAAGGAAGGACGGAAGGCTCGTAAGCCTACCGGTATCGCTAAAGACCACCGCTACGTAAAGCCAGGAATCAAGGGCCGCCTCGATGATTCGCGACGCGGATTAGACTTCTTTGAAGGTGGGAGGATGTGATTGTAGCTAATAATTTTCGCTGTACTAATATCTGCTTTGAACTAGGTGAGAAGGATCTTATGGCGTTTGCTCGTCTCTCAGGCCTCCTGGATCGCCAACCTTCCAGCGCATCAGTGGGCTCTGTCGTCCGACGACCCATTGGCAAGCAAGCAGCTTATGCAGCCATCGGTGTAGACCCCCCATGCGTTCCATCCCCCACGACAAACCAGGCTTCAGTGGCGCCGGCCACAACTGCGAGTAGAGAATTGGTCGCGACTGTTTCTTTGCCGACTTCCCTCGGTTCAGCACCTGATGATACGCATACAGCGGCGGTTATCACGAAAGTAGTTGACTCTCAAGCGACAGAACCATCCGGTATGACAGATGCTACAGAACAAGGTGATGGAGCAGATGATGTTGTTCAGGATGATACAGAATTGCATCCCAGGGAGAACGCGACAGATGAAGAAGAAGGCAAAACTGAGAGCGACGATCTGAACGAGACTGAAAACTTCGTTGATTTGGACGTGTTCGACAGCGATAACTTCATGGAGGGTCTCCGAAAGGAGCCCCTGTTTGGCCCGACAGCTGATGACATTGTGAACTTGGTGGATAGCGCTGACTTCTGTGATTCCGATTCAGATGCAGATGATGAAGGGATATTGGAAGACAATGAGGTGATTACGTCTTCTCTAGAAGGTGCCAACGATGTTGAAGATGTCCCAATGACTGAAGACGTCTCTGAAGCTGAGCTGTTGGGGTTTACGGAAGATGCCTTACGTGATATCGCTGGAAATGGATGGGTGACGTATGACGAAGAGCACAGCGGTAAGCCCGGATAGCACAGAATAACTTAAAACGCATATAAACTAAATCTGTATCTGACATATTTGCAACAATGTAGAGGATTTTCAAGTTGATGCAGCTGCGGACTATTATGACGGGGAATTTGGGCCTACGCGTTCTGCAGTTGCGTACGCAGATTCTCCATTGGGGATGTTCTTTTACTTCTTGCCAAAGGAACTATGGAGTCATATCGCCAAAGAGACGAACAGATACAGAACACAGAATATCACCGTCATTGCCACGTCACGTAGGAACAAGTTGCTGGCTCGGCAGGCCAAGGATCCTCGCATCAGTGTTCCTGATTTGGCGGATATTGAAGAAGGGCTGAAGAAGTTCAAGGATATACAGCCCCATGAGATCGTACACGTCGTAGCATTACTCTTTGCTCGCGCAATAGCACCGATTCGAGATGGACTTGCCAAACATCGGTCTACCGATGAAGATGGTGCTGTTCCACGAGGAACATTCTCTCGCTTCATAAAGCGTGATCGCTTCGTAGCGATCTTAAAGTTTCTTCACTTCAACAACAATGAACAAGGTGGAGTGCTTGTGGATACGGCCTGGAAAGTTCGACCGCTACTGCAAGCTGTTGAGAAAACGTTTCGCCGTGGATATCGCCTCGTAAAAGTAATCTCTTTTGATGAAGGCATGATGGCTAATCGAAGCAAATTCAACCCAATGCGCGTCTTCATGCCAGACAAGCCCTGCAAGTATGGCACCAAATTTTATATGACGTGCTGTGCTGACACCGCGTACTGCTCAAGGTAAGACAAGCTATTCTAAATAGTACCGAGCATCCTATTCTGGAGGATACAGATTAACATGGTGTGTACTTATCGTATTCGTATGTGATATAACTTAGAGTGGAAATCTACTGTGGAGCTGACAAATCGAAGCAGAAGAAGAGAAAAGCACCAACAGACACACTGGGACTTGGCCCAAAAGCTGTCGTAAGAAATATCTCGAAGGTGTTGATGGACCAGCCGAAGAAGCGACTGATTGTTACCGACAGTTTTTACTCTACCGTATCGCTCAGTCTGAAGCTGCTGGACATGGACTTGTACCACGTCGGGACTACACGGACCGACAGGTTAGGTTGGTGCCCAATTCACTTCACGCAAAAGAAAAGACCACAGCGCATGCCACGTGGAGCCTACCAAATTGCCCAAGCGCGAGACCACCCCGAGCTCGTCGCACTGAGCTGGATGAATTTTAAGCCAGTGAACATGCTCGCTACAGGATGTAGCACGCGTCGCACCAGTGTTCTCCGCACGCAAAAGGATGGAACCCGCACTCCAGTTCCGTGTCCACAGCTGGTCGTGGACTTCGGCCTCGGTATGGGTGGAGTTGATGTCCACGACCAGCTACGACTTCACCGCTACAGTATTCAAAAGTGCATTTCGCTCCGGAAGTATTACAAGCAGCTATTCCTGTGTATCGTAGACATGGCCGTTGTCAACGGTTACATTGTTCACTGCATTACAGTCAAGAAAAGAGGAGAGAGGCCACCTACACACGCAGAATACCTGCGCCGCTTGCATGTACAGCTACTGGCGCTAAGTACAATCAACTTCGAGACGCATCTCAACGC